AAAAAAAAAAAAAAAAAAAAATCATAACAATGTATATATCTTAATTAAAGAATATTGCTGAAAATGCTAATGATCATCTGAGCCTTCTGCAAGTCAATATTGTTGTTGGAGGGTCTTACCTTGATGTTGATGCCTGCTGACTGATGTAGTACTTGCTGAAGGCTGGAGTGTCTGTGACAATTTCTTTAAATGAGACTATTAATACAATGAGGTTTTCTGCATCGATTGATTCTTCCTATCACAAATGCTTTCTCTGTAGTATCCGATTGTGTTTCATAGTATTTTACCCATAGTAGAACTTCTTTCAAAATTGGCATTTCAGGCCAGGTGCACTGCCTCACGCCTGTAATCCCAGCACTTTGGGAGGCTGAGGCAGGAGGATCACCTGAGGTTAGGAGTTTGAGATTAGCCTGGCCAACATGGTGAAAGCCCGTCTCTACTAAAAATACAAAAATTAGCCCAGTGTGGTGATGCACACCTGTGGTCCCAGCTACTCAGGAGGATAAGGCAGGAGAATCACTTGGACACAGGAGGCGGAGGTTGCAGTGAGCTGCGATTGCACTACTGCACTCCAGCCTAGGTGAGAGACTCCATCTCAAAAAAAAAAAAAGTGCCACCTGGTACAGTGGTGCGTACCTGTAATCCCCGCACTTTGGGAGGCCAAGGTGGGCAGATCACTTGAGCTCAGGAGTTGGAGACCACCCTGGGTAACATGGCAAAACCTCTTCTCTACAAAAAAATACAACAGTTAGCCAGGTATGGTGGCAGCAACTTGGGAGACCAGGGTGTGGGAGGATCGCTTGAGCCCAGGAGGTTGGGGCCTCAGTGAGCCGTGATTGTGCCACTATACTCCAGCTTGGATAATGAGTGAGACTGTATTTCCGCTCCCCCCCCCCAAAAAAAAGGGCCTGTATCACCATTATATTATAGAGTGCATTTTTGTATACAAAAATAAATTTAAAACGTATCCCCAAACCACTGTTAAGGTTTGATATAATGTCACATTGTCAGCTACTAGATTGTTTCTGCAGTCACTATACTTATGTTTGTGATAATAAATATATTTACTTATATTTGTGATAATAGACGATAATTTTCTTTTTTTTTTTTTTTTTAGACGAAGTTTCGCTCTTGTTTCCCAGGTTGGTGTTTAATGGCGCGATCTCGGCTCACCGCAACCTCCGCCTCCTGGGTTCAGGCAATTCTCCTGCCTCAGCCTCCTGAGTAGCTGGGATTACAGGCA